GGTCATATGTTCATAGAGTATTTGTCAAATGCTTTGTTGATATTTTGTGGTGGTGTCGGTGGTAGTGATAGTCACGGATCACATGTATTAGGTACAAGTCATTCTGCATAGATCACAGATAAATATTCTCAAGTCACAAATTAAACAGAATTGGTCATAGATCAAACAGAATTGGTTATAGATCATATTTGCAGGTCACATTCCACAAGTCACATGTTATATATATCACAAATCAATATTAATGGGTCGTAGACCAAAATTAATTGGTCTAATGGATCATATATCACATGTCTTTATGCACTGATAATATGCCACATATTCAAGTTCACATGTGAGTTTATATGTTATTGGTTACATGTTAGTTCACAAGTCGTATTGCATAGGTAATAGAACAATGTCCATAGGTCGTAGATCCAATAAAGCTAGTCAAAGACCATTGTAACATGTCATAGTACATAGGTTAAAAGTCACAAATTTAAGAGAACTAGCACATGCCGTTGATTTGTCCGACCTTAGTTCTCCTAACTGGTCATAAATTCGATTAACTTGATTTCGGCGATGAGAATCGAAGTTATTTTGCTCCTGTGAGTTCTCTATAGAGTCTTTCCTTCTTCGATCTTCTTATGTTCAATGTCGACAACTTTCAGTTTGGGACCTCAATTTTTCGATGAGTTTTAGTTAACCAGATTTCGATGGTGAGAATCGAAGTTATTTGCTCCGACAAATTCTCTATAGATTCTCTCTTTGCTTAATCTTCGGATAGACAGTGTTGACAACTTTCAATTTTTACCTCAATCGTCCAATGAATTTCTATTAATAGGATTCCAATGAGACGAATTCTCTGTAGATTCTATTTTTGTTCAATCTTATGATAACTTTCAATTTTTGACTTCAATATTCTGATGATTTCAAACCATCAGATTTTGATGATGGTTATTTGCTCCAGAAAGGCCTCTGGTGCTTCCAGATTTGTTATCATTTGTTTTTTCGGAAAGTGGCAACTGAGAGCATTATTTTGAGATGTATAGTTATTAAAATTTATTTTATATACAATATTTATTAATCACCACTCGAGTTTTGAATTTTTAAATATTTTCTCTTAAAATTGAATTGGCGTATAGTTAAGGATTGACTTATCTATTTTTCCCATGAAAAAGTTGTAAGTAAAAAAGGAAATGAATTTGGCTTCGCCGGCCTGGGCACAGACCTTAAATCCGCCCCAGGTTCGAAAGGCATGTGTAATTTTGAAGTGATTTTAGAAATTTTCTTCTTTATTCATGGTGATGAATCGTAGTATTTGTAGCTTTCTTTCTCGATCTGCCAAATCTAAATTCCGTTTCATTTCTTTCAATTGTTTCTTTAATTCTTCTTTCTATTCTTGCTAGAATGAAATCTTTGATCGACTGAATATTAATTATACGCCTCAGAGTTGTGTTGTGATTTTGAGTAAGGTAGTCATCAAACGAATAATGCTAAGTGTACATATTTTACTTCACGAATTTTTTTCCAGATATATACATTTAGCGATTTTCCATTTTACATGATAAAAATAAAAAAAAAGAAAAAGACAGATCCAATCAAATGTCGTCAACGCAGCATGTGAAAAACTTCTGTGGGACCTTTTTCCAGTACATGTGGTTTTTTCCGCTGCATTAACTATGGGCTAATGAGTTCCAACATTTAATATTTAATTAATATAACGAATCCAATTTTTTATTGTTGTGGTGACTTTGATTTCCATGTAAAATATTAACATAGTAAACGCAATTATTTGAACAAAGCCCTCGTGATCTTTTTTATTCACCAACTGTTTATTGATATCTCAAATAAAACCCTCGGAGTATTAATTTGCTAAAAATCAATTAAAACTAAAATCTAAAAAATGTAGAAATTTAGGGTGCTTTTGGTTTACATTTCTGTTTTCGATTTTGAATTCATTTTCAATTTTCTATTTTGAGGGATTATTTTAAGGTTACGAAAAAGTATTTGATTTGTCCTTTTTCTTAAAAAAAAAAAAAAAATTAGAAAACACGTTTAGTTTTATAACTTTAGAAATAATTTTATGACATTTTGGAGGAGCATGAGAAGAGAGTGAGAGGGAGAGGGAGAGGGAGAGGGAGTGGGGTATTTGTATTTGGATAAGTTTACTGTAATTTTATTAATTATTTTAATTTGAAAAATTTTTAAGCTCATTTTTCTTATTTTGAGTTTTGTGTCATAAACTTTTTCTTGTTTTCAAAATTGCTTTTTTGAAAATAACATATTAAATATGTTTTGAGTGTTTTCGAAAATTGAAAATTGAAAATTTACTTCAAAATAACAAACCAAATGCATTGTTATTTATGCTAATTTGTTTGAGTTTTATTATAGGTTGATGAAACTATAAGATAATTGAAATGAATAGTAAATAAATGGATAGTACTTATTAATCATATAAATTGTATGGTTAAAATTATAGGAGCCTCTTCAACAATTCTCTTTTATTAAGTGTATACTGAGGAATAATAAAAAATCAAATGACAGATTTTAATAATATATCTTATGGAATTCATAACTTTTTAAATACAAATTTTACGAAAATCTATTAAAAATCTGATTTTAATCCCAACTAAACACGGTTTGACTTCTGCAATGTGTACATTGTTATTTAAATTTATTTGGAAAGAAGTGTATGGAAAATTAAGAAATAATAGATGACAACATCAAAATAGAGAAAATTAGAGAAACCATACTTTTAAATTTCCATTATAGAAAAGATAATATATCATTTTTATTTACAAATCAGGATTTTTTTTTGTTTTTTTGAAATAATGTACACAATCATGTTAATTGCAGTAATATGTGTGTGCGTGTTCTAATTATTGAAATTCAGATTATACAAAATTAGATTCTTGCCGTTTCAATATTATTTGTCAAGAGAAATTTTTCCTTAGTAACCGTCATTGTGAGAGAGCAAAAATACTACAATGACATTCTTCATTATAAACGTGAGAGAGGAAGAACATCACAATGTTCACTCTTATCAATGACAAAGGAAACTCATGTTCTTAAGAATCAAATCAGTTGGATCCCGATGTCATGCACAAACTATTGAGGTCTCAATTGCTGTATTTTATTTTAACATCGTACATGCTGCCAAGTCACAAGTTCACATGTCACATAAATACAATTACATAATATATATGTTACAATTTTGCATGTTATGTAGGTCTCAATTGAAAAATTTTGTGAACTATATAACCAATACAATAATCTCGTTGTGTAGAATCACTTTCACATATTAACTTTACATGCTTAAATATCAATGGTCAAATATAACTTTTAATATTAATCTAATACCATTCACAAGAAATAACACACACACACACACACACACACACACACACACATATATATATATA